GGAGGGAGCCCAGGGTGGCAGGACGAGAATGCCTGGCTCGGATTCAGAACCCTGGGGGGCAGAAGGCCAGGACCGCCTGGTTCCGATCCTCGGAGGAGGCAGGCATCTCCACCCACCTTCTTCAGGTGCCTCTCTCGGCCTCCTTTCACCTACCAGGTTAAGAGGAAGACATGGGGGAGAGACCCCATTAGGCTCTGACTGCTCATAAAACTAAAGCCCATACTCTCCTCTTAGACTACAAATCCCAGAAGCCCCCTTCCCAGGGAGAACTCTTGAGCATTCCTTGCCTTGCAACCAGTGTCTTGGCTCACTAAGCATGCTCTCATCTCCTCTTTCTTTTCCCTCAGGATCTTTCCAGCCCCTCCCTCCTCCTCTGTAGCAGTTAGTTTGAGCATGCTCTCTCCTCTTTCCTAATCCACCAAGGGCTCCCAAGGCTTCCCAGCCCAGACCAGTTCCCCCTGACCTGTGTATTCTTTCAGTGAGCATGCTCCATCTGCCCCATCTACTCCTGAACTACATCTCCCAACAAACCCTGGACTATGCTGCTCCCCAACTGCCTTTCCAAGAGCCAAGACTACAGTTCCCAGAATCCCTTGAGCTGCAATCCCTGTGAGCATGCCCTATGGTCTCACCTTTTTCCGTGGGGTGGGGGGCTCATTCCCTGCCTCCCTCTCCTTCCTTTTGGGGGGCCCAGGCACATCCTCAGGGGGAGGCCCAACAGGCAGAGGGCCTTTGCGCCTGGGTGGGGGTGGAGGAAGCGGTGGCTCCTCGGTCAGCTTCCATCCACTCCCTAGGCTGGCGCCCTCCTCACCGTTGTCAGCCCTGCGGCGGCCTGGCCCCTCACCTGCATCCTGGGGAGTGGAGGCTGGAGGTAAGGCCCCATCCAGTTCCTGACCCCCCAACTCATCCCAGAGCTCAGTGCTCAGCCCAGCCTGGCCCGACTACCTTGCTGGTACGGCCTTCCTGGGTGCAGCGAGGGCACTCCCAGCAGTTGGGGATCTCTGCATTGATGACGCCCTCAGCCTTCCCCATCTGCTGGAAAGAGGACCAAGAGTCAATGCCTTCATACAGAGGCAGTGTGCCCCTCCTCAGATTCCATGCTCCCCAGGGCAGGGCTATCACCTTCAGGCAGCCAGGGTGGACGATCTCATTGCAGATTGTACACTCCATGAGGCTCAAACTAAATTTCTCTTCCTCTCCCTCCACTGTGTCCTCCTTCCCAGCCTCCCCACACAAGAGGCACACAGCTGTGTGTGGGAGCACGGGCTGTTGGGAGAGAGAGGGCATCAGGGACCCTAAAAGGAAGCAACAGGCGAAGAGACTTCCTTCTGGGGACCCTGGTCAGCTGCTGGGTGAGGTTCAGAATCCATGGGCCAAGGTGGGTTAGAGCCTGAATTTGCTCCTTTTTGGCAGTATGACCTCCAACAACTGATTTAACCTGTTTTCGCTTCTACATCTGTAAAATGGGGCTAAGACTCTTCCTGTCATAGGTCTGTTGTAAGAATGTGATAATACATCGTAAGAGGCATTAGATATATAGGTGTTGACACTGTTGTGCCAGTTACAGTTGGAGCCAGGGCAGAGTGAAACTGTAGCTGGCTTGGGGAGGAAAGGAGAGATCACAGGCAAAAATGACAGTAATATTCAGGAGGGCTGGAGAAGATGGGATAGCAGATGATGGTGATTTCAAGGCTAGTCAATGGGAGGTCCAGGGGTGCCTCTGGACATACAGGGAAGCCAGTTTTGGCAAGACTCCTGGGAACACTAAAGGCAGCTGTCTACTCCTAGGGAAAATGGAAGCACTCTTTGACAACTTGACTTTGGGGAGAGCAATGGTATCACTGAGTCACATTAGGGATGATCAATGTTGTGAGTTGAGAAAGGGATCAAGAAAGAAACAGGTAGGGAAGAAGGGACAGGATAGAGGCAAGAGGCTGGGGGACAAAAGAAGAGAGAAAAGGGGCTCTGGGGCAAAGAGCCCAATCAGGAAAGAGTGTTGGAGGAAGGAGGCGGTGTTGTGGGGAGGGGGTGCAGGATGCAGCTGGCTCCCCATAGCTGCTGGAGAAGGATGGCTCTCTGGGGCCCAGGAACACTCAAAGGATGAGGAAGGCAAGGAGGAAACCCATGTTTCCCTGACACCTACTGTGTGCTGGACCTGTGGTAGGCACATTCATATCTATGCCATTGTTTAACCTTTACAACTCAGCAAAAGAAACATTTTACAGAGGGTACCTAATATTCAAAGTGATTTGCTCAAGGTCACATAAATGGGGAGCCAAGGCCACCCTGATGGACAAGAGCTATTCTACAGCAGATACCTGAGGAGCCTTCCAGCAACAGGCCTGGGCCTGCCTAGGAAGAGTGAAGGCAAGAGCTGGGCAGACTCTTTCCAGCACCCTAACATTGCCCCCACTGGAGATAAGAACAAAAGTGGACATTTGACATTAAGTAAATCAATGAATGAAGGCAGGAAGTGAAAGAGTGGACAAACAGTTGCTGCTTGGGCCGGCACTGAATACTCTGTGGAAGTGTGCCCAGGGGCCCAACATGGCAGAACAGAACTCACGGCAGTGCACTGCCGAAGAAGGCACGACTGCTTCATGCGCCCAGGCCCCCCGAACTTCTTCATGTCTCGGCAGAAGTGGCAGTCCCCGCACTCAGTTCGCACACAGGCCCGGCAGCGGCGGCAGCGGGTTCGGCGTCGGCGCGCTCCGGCCCCCGGCCCCCGGCTGCTCGACGACATTGGGGGCGTCAGCAACGCCGAGGGCTGTGGGTAGAAAATGGCAGGGTGAGCTGGGCTCATTGACCTGGCAGACCCCTGGTGGCTCCCCCAACTATGGACAGCCAGAGCTTGCCCTCCTATCCAGTGAGGCAAGGGGTTCACCATTCCTGCGTGTCTGGGGGCTGGGGGACCATTCCTTCTACTCAAGGCCTTTCTTCCCCGATACTAGTCCTCCAGCTCCTCTTGGAGCTGGGCGATGGTTCCCTGATCTCTCTCCCAATATTTTCCCAACTCTAGCAGAGAGGGTCTGCCTTACCCCTGGCGTTCCCAAGCCAAAGCTCCTTGGATAGGTCAGGGGCTCCTTGTCTGGAATGATCAGGGAAGGTCCCAACTCTTCTGTTACCCAAATGTAGACAACCCAGGCTCTCTCCAACCTGACATTCCCGATACCTCCAGTTCCAGGTTCTCTTCCTCTCTCCAATTTCTCTTTCCCCCAAACTTGGACACCCTCATGAGATTCAATGGCACCCTTGTCTCCGGTCCCTAATGACCCACTCTGTCCGAACTTCTGAGGGCTATGAGACCACTGAGCTGCCTCTTCAGTCAGTCCCTTCTCAACCCAAGATTTCAACTCCTCCGTTCCCCCATAGAACTTCCTCTGCTCCAAGACATTCTCTAGGATCCTACGGGTCAACCTGGGATCCCAGATTCCCTAGGATTCTAGAATCCAGCCTGACACTTCCACAAAACACAGGGTGGGCTCAGTCTTAGGTTCCCCCCCCTCCCCCGCACCCCCAGCTTACCAGGCTGCTTTCCATCCCTAATTGTCTGGAATCCCTAGGGCTGCCCTGCCCATGGAAACCAGATCCTCCAAGATCCAGCACAGACTCAGCAAGCCTGGAGGGGTCTCTTCCCAGTCAGTCTTACCCCCGCTGCCCTCTTTCCAGGGACTTCCAGACCCATCCACAGGGGTAAAGAGCCCTCCAGCGCTCCAGGGGAGGGGCCTAGAGGGCGGCGACTGTAGGCGGGGGTGTGTGGGGGGGGGTCTGCAAGGGGGAAGCAGGGTCTGGGAAGGAAGGCCAGTTCCCCAGGGCTGAGGTTAGAGGAAGGGGGGTTGAAGATGAGGAGTTTGGAGCAAGGGGAGGGTGAGGTTGGGGGCGGGGAAGGGAGAGAGAGGCCGGGCTGAGGATGAATGGGAGTGGGAGCTGCCCCGATCTGGGGGTGAGGAGGAGCCGCACGAACCCACCTCACACGTGTCCCGGGAGCCATCTCTCCCTTCTCGGCAGCTCCCGGCGGGTCGGCGGCCATCGGCGGCGGGGGGGCCGGGCGGCGCGGGGCGCGGAACGCTCAGAACGCCGGGGTCCACGGCCCCCCGAGGGCGCTCGGCCCCTCCCTCCGGCGGAGGCCGGGACGGCGGCGAGTGGAGACGGGGGGCGCCGGGGGCGAGGCCCTCCCACGGGCTGCGGCGCGGCCCTTCCAGGGGGAGGTCCTGCTCTGGGGGGCTCAGTCCCTCAGCCCCCCCAGACCAACGGGGGCTCCTCGGGCGCAGGGTGCTCAGCTTCAGCCCGGGCCCCACTTAGCCCCGGGTCCGAGTCCCGGCTCCCCTCCCCCCACCCCGCCCCGCCTCTCCCCAGCGCCCCCGGCCCTTTAACTGGCCCCTTCCCGGCTCCCACTGCCCAGGGGTCCAGGGACAGGCCTGGGCCCCCCACCGTTTCCGGGGTTCAAGCCCCGCCCACCGCCGGTTCCCGGGGAGGGGGGGGTCGCTGTAACCTGCCCCCCTCCCCTGGGCCCGCCCCTGGACTACGGCCCCCTGCCCTACGGCTACGGGGCAAGCGGAGGGGGGTGAAGGAAGCCGCTCCAGCCCCGCCCCCCCAGCCCGCGCGCGCCCCCGCCCTCCCCCCTCCCCCCAGCGCGCGACCCTCAGGAGATCGGGATTTAAATAAAATTTGAATAAATCCCCCTCCTCAAGGGGGAGGGTGGAAGGAAAGAATGGGGGGGGGCAGGGAATGGGGGAGGGGGCAGTTGAGGTGTCTCAGCCCCCCTGGTCCCCCGGCCCCGCGCTGCTCCGGCCCGGGGCCCTGGTCGCCTCTCTCATCCCTCCTCAGCTCCTTCCTCCTTCCTCCTCTCTTCCCCCTCCCCTCCTCTCCCCTCCCTCCTCCTTCCCTCCTCCTCCTCCTTTTTACTCCCTCCTTCTCCCAGAGGAACCCCGCCCCCTGCCCCCTCCTTCCTCCACCACCTCCACTTTCCAGGACGAGCGCGTGCAGCGCACGACGGGAGTTGTAGTCCTGCGGATGCTGGAGCTACCGCGGGAATAGGACGCAGGGGCCAGCGGGCACTACAAGCAAGATGGCGAAGGGCATGCCCCGCCGGGAGCCGAGCATGCCGGGAGTTGTAGTCCGGCTTCCCCGAGGCTCCCCGTTGCAGAACATAGAACAGGAGCGGGAGCGGTGACTACAAACAAGATGGCCTTCCCCCCCGACCCGACCTCCTTCCCAGGCACTCACACGCCCTTCTGTCCACAACCCTCCGCGTGTGTGGTACCTGACGGGAGTCGCAGTCCTTCTGCTGCCTTCCCGCTGCCATTTCTACTCGTCAGGAACAATGGAAAGGTGAAAAGGAACGAGGACTACAAACAAGATGGCGGAGGAGGGGCGTACACCTGACTAGCAGGCGATTTTAGAGGCGCGATGGGAATAGTAGTTTTCTATCCTTCTAGCGTTCCTCAAGGGTGGTGGAGCCAGGAGGATAAAGAGACTACCATAAAGATGCTAGACTACCTAGCCTCTCCTGGTCGTTTCATTCGGCCACCTTGAGCACCTCGCCCGCCTGTAATATCAAAATCGCACACCCGGCAGCGCAGAGCCTGCCGGGAGTTGCAGTCTTCCCGGCTCCCCACTGATCTCTTCGGCGGAGACAATGGCAGTGAGTGGGGCGGGGGCACGGCGACGATGGCGGCCGGAGGAAGGGCACAGCGACCTGGGATCTGTAGTCCAAGCTTTAAGGGTATTCCCTGCGGAAATGGGGGAGAGGACTACAGTCAAGATGGCAGCCCAGGCGCTCGCAGCTTGCGCCAGTGCCTGCCGGGGGACGTAGTCCCTGAGTGCTACAAAAAGGATTTGGTTGTGGAAATATGTATCACCGCGGACACGCCGAACTGCGAGCCGACGGAAACGGAAAGTCGCTTTCCTTCTCTCCTCGCCACCCCTTTCTGAACGGTCTGCAGGGAAATGTAGTCTCAAGCTTCAGTCCCCAGTGGAGGAGAATCGATGTCACCAGTGGGGATCAGTGCGAGTGAGGGAGAACCGAGTAGACGAGCCATGAATATGGTACGCCCGCCGCCCCGGGGACAGAGGATTTCATATTTTAGGGGAAGCTGTTAAAGGAAAGCGACAGTCAACAGTATCGTCGCGACGAGGGAGGCGTGGTTCTCCCTAGAAAGTACACTCACGCTGTTGTCCCCTGTAAAGCTCCGGCGCTTCACACCCGTGCCTGTTCTCCCAAACCTCAGGGAATCAGTGTCTTACAAGTCGCGAGAGTCCCAGGGAAAAGGCTCTGAAGATACACACACACACACACACCCGTCCTGCAAAGTCCCCAGCCCTCGGTTTTCTCACCTGAAAAATGGGGATGGTGAGAACCACCTCGAAGCCGAGGTAGGAGCTAGGAGACGAGGTTCACCAAAGTACCCAGCTCTGGCACGGGGCACGTGATGGTAGTTCCCTTTTCGAGCTTCCTTCCAGACTATCTGTTCGAGGAGTCCAGGAATCCATCATGCCGGACAGAGTTACCTTCTGTGAGAAGGAAACTGTGCCAGGCAGACTACTACCCCATCTTGAGTCGCCCTCCGCCCAACCTCACCTGGGTCCTCCAGCGTCCACTACCGAGCAGTGCTCCAGGTGGCGCCCATTCTCCATCTAACCGAGCTCCTTGCAAGCTCGGTAGCCCAATTCCTCTACCTGAAGTTGTAGGCGGTGCATGCTGCCCAGCCTCCTGCCCTGCCTGCCCGTCAGCCTCTCCCAACCTCAGCTGCCAACGCAAATGGGACTGCTTCCCACTGGGTGCCAGCCGTCTTACCTGCCTTCTTGATCCTCTTCCTCCGCCGGGGAAACTCACTGCTGACCCCAAGCCAGCCCCCCTCTACTTCCCTCTCTGCTGGGTTTGGGGGCCTGCAAGAGACTTGGTGGGTGTGGCTTTTTTGGCAGGGAAGTTAATGCTGGCCACTGCAGTGGGAAGTCCCAAGTTTGCAGGGACTTGCGCTGAACCGAGGCTCTTTGCAGCTCACACTAGCCTGCAAGATTGCTTCCAGGCTTTTCAAGAGCTATTCCCTGGTCCTGATCAAGCCTTTCCTCATCTCCCATCTCACTTCTCCATCCCCATAACTGTTTATCTTTCAGGTCTCTGTTTAAATGGCACTGTCCCAGCCGGGCGCCAGTGGCTCACGCCTGGAATCCTATTTATTCAGGAGGCAGAGATCAGGAGGATCACGGTCCTAAGCAAGCCTGGTCAAATAGTTCAAGAGACCCTATCTAGAAAAAACCCATCACAAAAAAAGGGCTGGTGGAGTGGCTCAAGACATAGGCTCTGAGTTCAAACCCCAGTACCACAAAAGAAAAAAAAATCCAACACAGTAAAGGGCTGGCAGAGTGGTTCAAGTGGTAGAGCTCCTGTCTACCTCCTAGCAAGTGTGAAGCCCTGAGTTCAAACTCCAGTGTGCCAAAAAAAAAAAAAAAAAACACACAAACAAAACAAAGAGTTGAAAATTCAATAATTTTCTTACATTAGCATTAAAATATAGACAAGAGCCTAGCATGGTGGTACATGCCTCTAATCCCAGTACTCTGCTATGAGCCCAGGCTAGCCCTGAACTCTCTTGATCCTCCTGTCTCAGCCTCCTGAGCAGGTGGGATTACAAAGGTGCACCACCCTACCCAGCTGGTATTTGTTTTCTGTCATGCATCTGGTTTTAAGATCTTTTGGAAGGATGACTTAAGTCCAGTCAGTGGTGGCAGTTTCCCTTGTGAAATCACAAAGGCAATCAGATAGGATGTCAGAGCTGCAGACCAGTTTTAGAGACAAGTTGTGTCATTCAGTCTTCAGAGGTGATCCAGGGAAAGGAAAGAAGGGCACCAGTCAGCTTTCAGAACTGACTGCACTATGAACTGGAGGTATGGCTCAAGTGGTAGAGCAGCTGCTTTGCCAATGGGAATGAAGTCATGAGTTCAAACACCAGTCCAAAAAAAAAAAAAAGTACTTGCAGTCAGAACTGTGTGCCCCCTTGGAATGTATGTATTGAGTTTAGGAGCTGGAGTGGCCCATCCAACCTAAAGTTCCTTTTTTTAGCAACAGCTGCTCTTCCTCCTCCTGAGTCTCTATAGAACTTTGCAACTTCTTTTTCAGCCAGAATGGGTGGGGTAACAACCTTCAGAGTTTTTTATTCTTTATTTTTTGGCAGTACTGGAGTTCATACTTGCTAGGCAAGTGCTCTACCACTTGAGCCAGTCCTCCATCCCCCACAAGTTTTTAGTTTTGGTGTTTTGTTTTGTTTTGGCAGTACTGGAGTTCGAACTCAATCCTCACACTTGTTAGGTGGGAGTTCTACCAGTTGAACCACTCCCTTGCATTTTTTTTTTTTTTGGCTTTTGGCTTTATTTTAATTATTTTTCAGTAGGATCTTGCATTTTTTGCCTAGGCCAGCCTGAATTTCAATCCTCCTATTTGTACCTCCTGCTTAGCTGGGATGACAGATGCACACCGCCACTCCAGCTTATTAGTTGATACGGGATCTCTTGCCTTGAACCAGGATCCTCCCAATCTCTGCCTCCCAAGTAGCCAGGATTATAGGCCTGAGTCACTGCACCCCAGCCTGCAATGCTGAAGTTTGGGTAGCTTGCAACAATAAAGGTCTGCATATTGCTCATGCTGCATGGTCAATGTTGGTCCATACTGCATTCTGTTCCTTGTCATTTAGGGAATGCAGTCAAGGGGAGAAGCTTCATGTCCACAGGAGCTTTCATGAGCACTGTCAGATGTAGACAAAGATTTGGTGAAACACACTCTGGCTTTTATAGCTTCTGCTCTGAAGTGACACGTGACAGTTCTCACATTTTATTAGCCAGTCATATAGCCAGACTTAAAAGGGTCAAAGACAGAAACCCTTTCCATGGGTCTGGGAGGAGAATTAGAAAGTCTGTGGACAGCCCTAATGACCAATGCAGCTTCCTGTGGGTCATAGGAGAAGTGTGCCACCATAACCAATGGTCATAACCATTTTCTGTGTTAGAACCCATTCGAAACACCCACTATTTCAGCTCTTTCTTGTTCCATGGATTGGCAATGTCTACATAGGGCAGAGAAGAGTCTGATTTACCCTGAGCTATGGCAAGTGAAAAGGAAATGTCTCGGTAAGAAGTTGATGGCTCACCCTGGAATGAGTAACCAACAAATTGCAAGTTTCTCAACAGCCTCATGAATCAGGTTAGGGGAAATCCCAGAAGTGAAATGCCCAGCAAAAATGGATGTAGATTCATGCCATCACAGACCACTTGAGTAGAGTTCATTGGCCAGTGTTCCCTGGGGTAGAATCAGACATCAACAGTAGCTGGGTTTCCACTACTAGTAGAAACTTCTTGAACATGTTCACATTTGTAATGTAGGTAATATCACATTCATTTATTTAATTTCTCGTGTATGTGGTACTGAGGACCTCGTGTATACTAGGCAAGCACTCTACCACTGAGCTAGACCCTCAGCCCTTATCACATCTCTTTTTACAGATGTACCCTTCTGTTTAAGAACTTGGATCAGAGCCAGGTGCTCACCCCTGTAATTCTAGCTACTCAGGAGGCAGAGATCAGGAAGATCATGGTTCCAAGCCAGCCCAGGCAAATAGTTCACAAGACTCTATCTCGAAAAACCCTGTGACAGAAAAGGGCTGGTGGAGTGGCTTATGGTATAGGCCCCAGTAGTGCAAAAAGAGAAAGAAAGAAAGAAAATTAAGCTATGTGAGGTAATACATCTATAATCAGCTACTCAGAAGGTAAAGATAGGGAGTATCAAAGTTCCAAGCCAGCCAGGCAAAAAGTTAGCAAGACCCCATCTCAATTACATAGCTTGGTGTGGTGGTTCATCCCTGTCATCCCAGCTGTTCAAAAACCTTAAGTAGAAAGATTAAGATCCAGGCCATCCCATCAAAAAACACAAGACCTTACCTAAAAATAAGTTAAAAGGTCTGGGGGTATAGCTCAAGTGGTAGAGTGCCTGCCTAGCAAGTGTGAAGCCCTGAGTTCAAACCCCACTACAACCAAAAAATTAAACATAGAATTGCCATATGATCCAGCAACCATGGCACTGCTAAATGTATACCCAACAGAAATGAAAGTGGAGAGTCAAACAAATGATTGTATATCCATGTTTATAACAGCATTTTTCACAATAGCCAAGAGGTGAAGAAACCCTAATATCCATCAAATATCTATCGACAGATAAATGGCTAAAAAAGTGATATATCATCTATACAATGGAAAATTATTTAGCCTTAAAAAGGAAGGAAATTCCAACACATGCTACAACATAGATGAATGGTGAAGACAGTGTGCTAAGTGAAACAAGCCAGATGCAGAAGGAGAATATGGTGTAACTCCTTGTATCTGAATTATGTAGAGTAGTTAAAGTCATAGAAAATAGAACAGTGGCTCCTAGGGGATGGGGGGGAGGAGGGATATGGACTTATTATTTATTGTGTATCGAAAGTTTTAATTCAGGAAAATAAAGAATTCTGGAGATAGATAGTGAAAATGGTTGTAAAATAATGTTAATGTGTTTAATCCCATGGAATTGTACATTTAAAATAGTTAAAATGAGCTAGGCATAGTGGCACATGCCTGTAATTCCCAGCACTCAGGAGGCTGAGGTAGGAGAACCGAAAGTTCAAGTCCAGTCTGGGCTACATAATGACACTTTTTTTTTCCTTGTTTTATTTTTTTCTTTACAATGCTGGTGTTTGAATTTAGGGCCTCATAGTTGCTAGGCAGAGACCTATAGCATTTAAGACATTCTGCCAGCCTTTTTTGTGTTGGGTATTTTTTTTTCTTCATTTTATACTTTATTTAAAATTAATAAAATGATAAACAGTTATAGGTACATGACAATTAAGTACAATTAGTTGGATAATATTTAAACATTTACATATTCATAAGTTCACAGATCCTTCACAACCATCAAACATTTTAGTTTACGTAGTCAAAGTCTTCTGGAATTCCAAAAGTTTTGTCAGTTTTATTTTCTTCAAACCCAAATTTTCTTTTGGCCCAAGATTTTATTGCAAATATATTATCAGTCCATCTGTTAGCAGCTTCTTTGGCTACTTTATTTGCTTGATGTATTTCTTCCACAACTTGTGGATCACATTCTTTATATTTTTCTACTTCTGCCTTAAGCTGTTCCCTTTTGCTCTGAAGTGAAGAAAGCTCTTTTGCTAGCATGACTCGCTCTTCTGTCTCTTGTCGGCCAATTTTAGCTTTCTCAATGCTTTTCTGTAAGTTTGCATGCTTTTGGTTTCCCTCAGACAACTGAGACTCCAGAATCTCCAACTTTCGTTTCCTTGAATGAAGAGCTTTACTTGGAAAGGCCCAGTAATAATTAGAAGTCCCAATCTCTCACAGTCAACCATACCATCATCAACTAAGCTTTGAAGGACTTCTTTCACTGACATAGCAGTAATGCCTTTCTCTTTGGGAGCAATCTTCTCCATATCTTTTAATTGAAATACATCTTTTGTCTCAAAAAATAGTTCCATCATGCGGGCTCTTTTTTCTTCTGCACTCAGTCCTTTTTTCTTTGACATGGTGTCGGCGGCGGGCCTTCCGGCGGCGGGGCCTGGGCCTGTGTTGGGTATTTTTGAGATAGGGTCTTGCTTTTGTTGCCTTGCAACTGAGATCATCCTGATCTGTGCTTCCGGAGTAGCTAGGATTAAAGTTGTGAGCCACTGGTGCCCTGCCAAAACTGTCTTAATTGTATATGATAAGCAACAAAAGCTATATTGTAATAAGGTGTTAAAAAAAAGAATGTAGTAAGTTCTCTAGTTCAATATGGATTTAGAAAATACAGACTCTAGGCTCAAGTAGTGGAGTACTTGCCTAGTAAGCAGGAGGCCCTGAGTTCAACACCCAGTGCAAGAAGGATAGAGAAAGAGAGAGAAGGAAAGGGAAGGGAAGGGAGGGGAGGGGAGGGAAGGGAAGGGAGAAAGAAAGAGGAAGAGAGAGAAAGAAAGAAATAAAAGAAAAAAAAATACAAGAAAATATAAAGGGCTAATTAATGCTATGAATTCAGAATATTATCTGGAATTTTTTTTTCCATACTGGGGCTTGAACTCGAGGCCTATACCTTGAGCCACTTCACCAGCCCTATTTTGGGAAGGGTTTTTCAAGACAGGGTCTTGAGAGCTATTTCCCCAGGCTGGCTTTGAACTGTGATCCTCCTGATTTCTGCCTCCTGAGTAGCTAGGATTACAGGCTTGAGCCACCGGCACACAGCTTCATTTTTTTCTTGGCAGCACTGGGGCAGTACTTGTGCTTCCTAGCAGGTACTCTACTGCTTGAGCCACTCTACTAGCCTCTCTTGTGTTTTTTTGAGGTAAAGTCTTGACTTATGCCCTGGGGTGGCATGAACCAAGAATGAACCAAGATCCTCCTATTTGTGCTTCCCTGTGTAGCTAGGATGACAGGCATGTACCATTTGCCATGCCATTGGCTGAGATGGGGTATCTTGAACTTTTTGCCCAGGCTAGCCTCAAACTGTAATCCTGCTCGTCTCTGCCTCCCAAGTAGCTATAATTACAGGCTTGAACTCCAGTGCCCAGCTGCTTAGCTTGTTTTTCTTTTTTTTGGTGGTACTGGGGTTCAAACTCAAGACCTTGCACTTTCTAAGAAAGTGCTTTACAACTTGAGCCACCCACCAACCCCTATCATTTATTTTAAAAAAGCAAAAAACAAGCATACATATTTAGTCATATATATAAATATATATTTATATATATATAAATATATAATAAATATATATATTTTATATATATATAAATATATATATAAATATATAAATATATATATAATATATATAAATATATAATAAACATATATATAAATATATATTTATATATATTTATATATTGCAGAGTTCCTCATGCAATAAGAGCGCCTGCCTAGCAAGCTTGAGGCCCTGAGTTCAAACCCTAGTGCTGCCAAGAAAAAAAAATTAGACACACCTATCATCTTGTGATCAATTCGGCAGCACATACACTAAAATCGGAACAATACAGAGAAGATTAGTATGGCCCCTGCACAAGGATGATACGCAAATTTGTGAAGATATTAAAAAAAAAAAAAAAAGTCCCTGAAAATTTCAGAAGAAACAAGTACCTGTGCTTGCCACCAGAAGGGGAGCTAGGTGGGAAACAGAGATGAGGAAAACCTTTTCGCTGAAGAGATGCCTTTTGGCTGTTTTGAATATTGAACCACAGAAATGAAGTACCTCTACCCAAATGACACATGCACAATTATAAAGAATCAAATAGGAGTGGAGGTGTGGCTCAAGTGGTAAAGCACTGCTTTGTAAGAATGAGTTCAAACCTCAGTTCCACCAAAAAAAACAAACAAACAAACAAACAAAAAAGCCAGGCACCTGTGGCTCATGCCTGTAATCCCACCTACTCAGGAAGCAGAGATCAAGAGGATTCTAGATCCAGCCCAGGCAAGTAGTACACGAGACCCTATCTCTAAAAACCTTTCACAACAATAGGGCTGGTGGAGTGGCTCAAGGTGAAGACTCTGAGTTCAAACCCCAGTACTGAAAAAAAAAAAAAAGTCAAATAATGTTAAAAGCTTTCTGAGAAATTTTGATATGAACATTTGGTTGGTTAGAGATCACTCCCACTGGATTAACTGAACAGGTATTAAGCAGCTCTTGGTGTGAAGGCCCACAGCTATGGTGCAAAATTCCTGCTCCTCTACAGAGTGAGGAGAGACCAGGATTTGGAATTAATTCTCCGCATAATTTAGCATTTGTAACTAGGCCCTGCTAGGCCTAGGGCAGTCCTTAAATTTCAGCCAGTTCCTCGAAGATACTGGGACCCTTTGTGGGCTTGCATTTGCTGCCTAAACTTTCTTTTCCTTTTTTTTTTTTTTTTTTTTCAGTTTTCTGTGGTGCTGGGGATTGTACTCAGGGTCTACACCTTGAGCCACTCCACCAGCCCTTTTTTGTGATGAGTTTTTTTTAAGATACGGTCTCTCAAACTATTTGCCCAGGTTGGCTTTAAACCAGAATCCTACTGATCTCTGCCTGCTGAGTAGCTAGGATTACAGGTGTGAGCCACTGGTGCCCAGCCTGCCTAAACATCTCAACTAGAATGACCTGAATCTTACTTCCTTTGGTTTAGCAGGGGTCAGGGGTCAGGGTCATTTATTTCCTATGATTGGCTGCCTCCCAATCCCTCCCTCCTTCCCTCCCTCTCTTTTTGTTTTTTTGGTTTTTGGTGGGGTTTTTTTTTCATAATTATAGTTTTCTTTTTCCAATTGAAGTGTTTATTTTCTAACTTTTTTTTTGTGGTGTTAAGGATTCACCACAGGGCCTCAAGCATGCTAGGCAAGAGCCACACTCCCACAGCACCTATTTCCTAGCAACTAAAACACAGTCAATATGCAACCACTTACGAACTTTTATATTCTTTCAACTTTTAAATTCAAGTTTCATTTATATATTGTATTGTTGGTTTTCAGAGACAGTGATTTTTTCTCATATGTAAATCCAACACACCCATAATTCATGTTAGGCAGATCACTCATGTGCCTCTATGGTAGTCCTTGATGTCCACAGGAGATTGGTTCTAGAACCCCCCACAGATATCCAAGTGTGAGGGTGTTCAAGTCCCTTATATAAAATGGGGTAATGTTTGCATATGTTCCCATATTCATTCTTTCTTTTTCTTTCCTTATTTTTTGGTGGGACTGGGGTTTGAACTCAGGGCTTCACACTTGCAAAGCAGACATCCTATCGCTTGAATCACACCTCTAGTCCATTTTGCTCTGGTTATTTTGGAGATGGGGGTCTCATGAAGTATTTGCCTGGGCTGGCCTCAAATAGCGATTCTCCCAATCTCAGTATCCCAAGTAGCTAGGATTACAGGTGTGAGCCTGCAATCATCTCTGGATTACTTGTAATACCTAATCCAATGAAAATGCTGTGTAAATAGTTTTTAACATTTATTGTTTAGAGAATCATGAGAAGAAAAATGTGTGCACAAGAGTTTATACAGATAAACTCTTTCAAAACACTTGTGTTTTGGAATTGTGTCCCCTCCGCCCCCTGAAGTACTGCAGATTGGACCCAGGAACTAAACCATTCTAGGCAACCACTTTTAACACTTGAGCTATTCCCCCAGCCCTTTCATCTTTATATATTTACTTATTATTTATTTAGTTTTGTTCGAGGCCTGGGTTGGCCTGGAACTTGATATCTTCCTTGGCTGGCCTCAAACTTGTGTTTCCCCTGCCTCTACCTTCCTAGTAGGTGGAATTACAGGCTGCACCGCCACGCTCAGTTTGATTTTTTTTTTTTTTTGCAGTGCTGGAGATTGAACTCAGTGCCTTGTGCTCTACTGCTGTGCCATGCTTTAAATATTCTCTATCTGAGGTGGAAGATACAGAACCCTTGGACATGGAGAACCAATTTTACTTGTCTACTTACAAATAAAATTGAGCTTGGGTAGCACCTGTGTACTAAACATACTCCTACATCTGGTGATAACCATGATCCTCCTCTCTCCACCTCCCAAGAAGCTGGGATTATAGGAATAAATCAGTTTGGCTGGAATCCAAAAGTTGCCAAAGAGTGGGTTGGGGCTGGTTTAGGACCTACACTAACCACCAGCAGATCAGTGCATAAACCTCCCCCATTTTGTTGTCATGGTATCCACCATATGTCCTCAGCCTGGAGTCAAATCCTCATTCAGACATTGAAACAGTGAAGAAGCTCCAGCTTGGGCTGCTGAGAGCAACTTCCTGACATCAGTCCTGAGTTCAAAGTATCAACAACTCATTCTCTGAGTGATTTTGGCAAGTCACCAAACTTATTAGAACCTCATCTGTACAAGTGGGGATGATAGGAGGAGTGTGCAGCTCACTGGTAGTTTTCCTAGCATGTGTGAGGCCCTGACTTCCGTACTTTGTGTGTGTATGTGTACTGGGGTTTGAACTCAGGGCCTCAAACTTACTAGGCAGGTGCTCTGCCACTTGAGCCATTCCAATAAACATTTTTGGTGTTAGGTATTTTTGAGATAGGGTCTCTCAAACTATTTGCCTAGGCTGGCCTCAAACTGTAATCCTCCTGATCTCCGCCTGCCAAGTAGCTAGGATTATAGGTGTGAGCCACCAGTACCTGGCTCCTGGTTTCCACACTTGTTATAAGCATTAAATGAGACCATATCTGTGTCTAAAGTGACTTGTAACCCAATAGAGGCTAAAAATGTGGTTCTTTTCCTTCCCCTACATCTCTTGTGACAAGTGGTGATGACCACTCCTTGTCAGATGCCCTGAAAGGAACCAGGACAGCAAAGACCATGGAAAGGACTCAAACATTGGGAGGACTAGAGACAGAAATGGTAAAGAGCCCCAGCTCCAGAGCCTGGCTTCAAACCCTCGCACTATGAGCTGCATGATGCTAAACTACTCACTTAACCTTGCTGTGCCTCAGTTTCCTCATATGTACAATGGGGAAACAGTTCTATTCACCCCCGAGGGGGTCTCATAAAGAAAACATGAGTCAGTCAGGCACTGGTGGCTCAGGCCTGTATTC